GTATAATTGAATCACTTTGCTGTATACCTGAAACCAACATTGTGAATCAGCTACACTTCAATAAAAAATAAAATTTAAAAAAAATGTCCAAAAATAACTGAAATTTTGCTTTTTCCTGATAGTCATTTTATAAAATGTGGAAACATTTTAAAAAGTCCTAAGGAATATATAAACATTTATACTGTTGTTCATTACTCAGTGATAACTGTGTTTAACATTTTAAAATAGTTTCCATAATTCCAGTCTTTTCTGTGTACAGTAGAATTGTGATCATCTTATACTGTAGAGAGTTTTAGTTTCTGCATTTTTATTTACCATTATATTGTTTGTATTTCTTAACACTAAGTATTCTTTGAAAATTATATTTGAAAAGAGTCTTTAATGTCAATTTTACTCTCTGAATATCTATGTCACTCCACCAGCACTGCCACTGTCCTACTTTAAGCTTCCATCATCTTCTGTGGATTGCTTGTTTCTCTGCCTTGTCCCTGCCTTTCTCCGGTTTCTCCCCTCTGCAGCGATTCTTAAAATTTTTTTTTTATGACATGTACCCCTTGGCAGTTTTAGTGAAACCTATAGACCCCTTCTGAGAATAACATTTGAAAATGTGTAACTACAAAAGAAACCAATATAGTTATCAAAATACTATTTTTTTAAAAGCTTGTGATATTATATGTGCTTTTTTGTTAATGTATTAAATAACAAGATCTAGCAATGCTTCCCAAAACTCACACAATTTTTAAGTAATCATGTTGGGAGGGACAAAACCATTATTTTGAGAGTTTTGCAATAACCATAATACAGTGTGAACATATTTGAGATTTGTATTGGTGACAGATTTAAAGGGCCTATAGTTTACAATCAAAGGAAATGCTAAGTTTTGTTTAGAGGTTGGTGAAGAATAAAGATTCCCCCCCCCTCTGCCAAGTTCATTAAGTCCTGGATTCTGTGCACAGACTCTTTGGTATCTGTGGACTGGATGTTCAGAACCCCTGAGAATAGATACTTACTCAAAATGCAGTTCTTATTTTATCACTCCCTTGATCAAAAACTTCTGCTGAATTCTCTCTGCTTTTGGGACAAACCCCGAAAATTTTAATGTCTTAAAGACTGTGATTTAGCCTGCCCACTTCTCTAGCCTTTCCCACTTTCTCATCTGTGCCTGTACTTTAGCCACACTGGTTTTCTCTTAATTCTGTTCCTTGCTCTTGCCTGTCTCAAAGCCTCTGTATGTGCTATTCCCATTGCCTGGACATCCACACACCTAGTTAATGCGTATTTATTCTGCAGCTCAGTTTGAATGTCACTTCCCCAGGGAAGCCATCTCTGATCATCCCACTATCCCTAGGGAAGGTCCCCCTTTTAGATGCTGTCGTAACACTCTTTGCTTTTCCTTCACAAAACTTACTAGTTTGTAGTTACATTTTGTGTGATTCTTTGAATATTTCTCACCTAATAAGCTGTATGCTCCACGAAGGGAGGCACCGTTCTATTTTGATGACTGCTATATCCTTGGCTCTTGGTGTAGAGCAGTCCCTCAATAAATATTTTATTAAATCCGTGAATGAATACTGACCAACTTAAAGATCCTCAGTTCATTTGCTTGTTTCCAGTGATGATAGAAATACCTTATTCTTTTCAGTAATCTTCATTGTTTAAAGCCATAGTCTTTCTTCTCTTCTTCAAACTAATTCTAAGTTCTTTAATCTTTTATCATAGGCTCTATTTCCCAAACTTTCAGTCTTTTTTGTTGATGTTCTGTGTTCCATTTTTTTTCTCCTCCTGTCTGATCAAAAGCAAGTCAAGGTGGAAAATTATTTCCCAATTTTCATGTCTCTTACCATCATATTTTCAAGCTTTGGTTCATTGACTGGGTCTGTATGTGAGAGATGTGTTTCAGGTTTATATTGTCCACCCAATAGCATAAGCCAGTTACTGAGTGTATTCATTAGCCAGAAATACCAATTAATGTTTAATCAGCAAGAGTGTGACTGAAGAGTGCTGTAGTCAGAGCATCCTCCTCTTGCTAGAGAACAGCGCTGTTGACCAGAGTTTTCACTCCAGCATAAGTTGTACTGCATGTTGACACAATCAACCTTTTTTCTTTTTTGGTCCAGATCTGAGTTCTGTGTTCTGGCTCTTCTCTAACCCTCTCAGCCCTCATTCTATGAGTTCTGGCTCCTTCCTGCCGTGACCAGCTCTGCTCCAAGGCTGTGTGTAAACCTCCACTGTCATTCTGTGAGTGTAACTTCTCTCTTCTGCGTGCTCCAGCCTCATATTTTCCTGTGACTTTTGGGTTAAATTCTGATTAAACAAATATTTCTGGATTTTAGAATTTATAACTCTTGACCAGAACCCTCTTAACTGACAGCTTAGTAATAATATTAGTAGCCAAAATTATTAAACTCATTGGTTTAATAGCTTGTATGAACTCATTTAATTCTCACAAGAACTTTATATGTAGATATTGTTATTTCCCCCTTTTTTCAGATGAAGAAAGTGAAGCTCAGAGTGGTTAGGTAACTTGTCCAAGATCATACAGCTAGTAAATAGTAGATTAGGATTTGATCCCAGTCAGTCTGGTCCTTTACTTCTCTATAGCTTGGGTCTGCTACCCTGGGGTGTAGTTTTGCTCAGCTAGTCTTTTTCTCTTTCTT